AAAAAAAAAATTATGGTTCTTCCAGTATAGTTTTTAACACAATTTGTCCAAAATGTGGTGCTCTTTTATGCTGGTTGTTCCATTGTCTTGATTATTCTGGTCCATGTAAAAGGATGAACTTCCTTAGAGCCTAAAAGAAAATAAAATTCAAGTCTGATGTCAGCCAGAGTCTGTTAGTCAATGGACTGTTCACAAAGCTCTTTTGCAACAACGAATAATGTATACATTTTTAAGGGCAAAGGGGTTTGTATTTGTGGAATTAAAGCAGTAGGCTACAACTATTGCAATTAGAGCCTAAAGTCAAGGTCTTGCTTTTTCCAGGTTCTGCAGCAGTGTTCAGTAGTTCAGGGTTATGCAAATCATCACCGGGTCTTGGCTTGCATTTGCGTTAAGCCAGTAGAAAACAGTAATAAGTATGGGACTGGATTCAGTTGGGGGGCTTTTTTTTGTCACCTTTTTTTTGATAGAAAAGCTCATGGAGCTTTAGAACAAGAAGCTGTGTTATATTGAAACACATTTGGCAGCACTTTGGCTTTCTCTTATGCACTTCCAGATTGCTAAAAGGGCCAAGTGGATCCTGGTACAGCCCTGGTCCTGTAATTGTCTCAGATGCTCATGAACCCATGCCTGTGGAGCTGATGATTACATTCCCGCTGCATTACTTCAGTTTTTTAGTGTTGCTTATGTTTATAAGCACCGAGCGACTGTTGAGTAGTCTTACCTTGCCTGAAAGACCAGAAATGTAGGTCTTAGTGAAATATAAAGAAAGATAATTCAGGAACTCCAGCAGACTGCCAGATCTTTCCTTGAGAAGTAACAGCTGGGTGGTGCTGGCGGCTCGGAGACGGTGCAGCTGCTGCAGGCAGCGCGCTGTGATCACAGTGTGCTGTGATCGGGGATCTTCCAGTCTCCTGGAACGCAAACACAAAGGCATTTTTGGTTTAAATACAGGACTTCTTTCTTCAGAACTCCATGAACTGTGCATACACAGTATGCGCCGCAGATACTAGTTACCAGTACTTCTGAAAATAGCTCACGTCTAGGTATCTTTAGCATATGTAGCCCTTTTTCTCCCTGCTGGTTTTATAGAACATGTAGGTCTTCCAGTCTCCTGGAACGCAAACACAAAGGCATTTTTGGTTTAAATACAGGACTTCTTTCTTCAGAACTCCATGAACTGTGCATACACAGTATGCGCCGCAGATACTAGTTACCAGTACTTCTGAAAATAGCTCACGTCTAGGTATCTTTAGCATATGTAGCCCTTTTTCTCCCTGCTGGTTTTATAGAACATGTAGGGAAGGAAAAAACCAAAACCAAACCTACAAAAACCTAAAACAAAACCCTAAAGTTTTTTCTCCTTCTCAGGATTCAGGACTGAAGAAATTGAAGACAGCGGGTCAGCAGTTTTTGCTTGAATGTCCTACGATTTTGCAAGCATCTATAAAGCTGTATTCCTTTGAAGATACTGTTGAAGGACATGAGGTTTTTTCCACTAGGCCAATGTAGGAATGTAAAAACTGACAATGCTCTTTAAAGCAGGTAACAGATTTGCTTGTTGATTTTCCTTTTATATGAATCAACTGCGGGGGGGGGGCTGTTTGGAGAATTTTGCTTTTTCCTCTGTGTAATGTCACCCCCTTTTTTTTTTTTTAAAGTGGCAAGTTTTATGTCGTTAGCAAGTAATCTGGTAGTAAGTGCTAGTTCTATTCAAAAGTGCAATGGCATCTGCCATAACTACTCGGGTCAATTACTTGAGTACAGTATTAGTTAACTAACTTTGGAGATTTTAAGGTTAAGTCTTCTGTAACACCATTAACCAGCGTTAATGGGAAAATGTCTTTAGGAAAGATTTAGCTTCCTTTGTATTGTGTACACAGGCTTGGAATAGTAACAGGGTTGGTACTGTAACAACCTGAAGTAGAATCAAGTTTCATGCTTGTGAGAAACCAAAAAATCCAAGAGAGTAGGTCTCAGAACATGTTGGGATCGCAGAAAAGCGGACGCAATTTCCTGATTTCGTCTATAATTTTGCATCACTGGATGCTACCAAAACCTGCAATCTCAAATGGTCCTTACCTAGTGAGTATACACATCAATAGTAAAGAAGACAAAAAATAGCAGATAGAACCTTTAAAACTTTATTTGAAAACAATCGAACAAGTGAACAGGGTTCTGCAATTCTTTTTTCTTCTTCCTCCTCTAATGCATTTTGCTAGACTTCAGTATTCTAAATATTCATCTCCTTCTTCAGCCTCTGCTTCTACCGAGTCTAGACCGACTTCTTTGTAATCTTTCTCAAGGGCAGCCAGATCTTCCCGGGCTTCAGAAAATTCTCCTTCCTCCATTCCTTCCCCAACATACCAATGTACGAAGGCACGCTTAGCGTACATGAGATCAAATTTATGGTCAGGGTGACCCCATGCTTCAGCAATCGCAGTTGTATTACTCAGCATACACACAGCCCGCTGCACCTTTGCAAGGTCTGCACCTGGCACTGCAGTTGGAGGCTGGTAGTTAATGCCCACCTTCAAGAAAACAAATGAAAACTTTCCTTGTGAGCGCCAAGACTTACAGACTTAAGTAAAAATCACCACAGTTACGAACAAATAAAATAGCTTACAGTTATTTTGCACTTCATCAAAATATTTAACAGGGATGCTACAACATTGCAGAATGACTGTTACCTCTGAATACTATACAATTCCTAACAATTCAAACATCGAGCACTTAAAAAGCTATGCAAGTACCTTGAATCCAGTTGGGCACCAATCCACAAACTGAATGGTACGTTTAGTCTTGATAGTAGCAATAGCGGCATTGACGTCTTTGGGAACAACATCACCTCTATATAACATGCAGCAGGCCATGTATTTGCCATGGCGAGGGTCGCATTTTACCATCTGGTTGGCTGGTTCAAAACAAGCGTTGGTAATCTCAGCCACAGACAATTGCTCATGATACGCTTTCTCAGCGGAGATGACAGGGGCATATGTTACCAGGGGGAAATGGATTGGTGGGTATGGAACAAGGTTAGTTTGAAATTCTGTCAGATCTACATTGAGGGCTCCATCAAAACGCAGTGAAGCTGTGATAGATGAAACAATTTGCCCAACTAATTGGTTTAAATTGGTATAAGTAGGATGTTCAATGTCAAGGTTACGACGACATATATCGTAAATGGCTTCATTATCTACCATGAAGGCACAGTCTGAATGCTCTAATGTTGTGTGGGTAGTTAGAATTGAGTTGTAAGGTTCCGCTACAGCAGTGGAAACCTGTGGTGCTGGATAAATTGCAAACTCTAGCTTAGATTTTTTGCCATAGTCAACAGAGAGCCTTTCCATGAGCAGAGATGCAAACCCTGAACCAGTGCCTCCTCCAAAACTATGAAAGATAAGGAAACCTTGCAGCCTTGTGCATACATCAGCCTGTAACAGGGGGGGAAAAAAGTGAGAGGAAAAAAAAATTAGTGATGATTTGGGTATTCAAATGCACGAAATTTATAAGGAAAAATCCATAGCAAACCATCATTACAGATAGCTATGGAGCTGTATCAATTATTCTCAATGTTGACTTGCAACATGAATTCTTACCAGTTTGTGGATGCGGTCTAGCACCAGATCAACAATCTCTTTTCCAATGGTGTAATGGCCTCTGGCATAATTATTGGCTGCATCTTCTTTCCCAGTAATGAACTGCTCAGGATGGAATAATTGCTTGTATATGCCTGTACGTACTTCATCTACAAAGAAACAAAGTACCACAACATAAATTTTATCAGTTGTGTGTGTGCTGCCTAGTGACTACACAGTAAGTGCACACGTCAAAAGAGTGCACACGGCATCCCTGACTACATGCAGCTTGTCTGACTAGACTAAATAGGAGGCACAACTTCAGCCCCTGTCCTGGGTTCGGCCAGGACAGGGTTAATTTTCACCAGAATCCAGGAAGGGGCACAGCCGGATGGGCTGACCCAACCCCAACCTGGCCAAACAGAGCCGGGTATTCCATACCACGTTGGGGGGGACAGCTAGGGTAGGAACTCTCTTGCAGCTCGGGAGCGCGCAGTGCTGGTCCTGTCCGGGAGAGAGGGTCTGTTGTGCGAGTTTGTGTCGTATTTTCTCCTTATCTGTATCGTTGTTGTTACTGTTCCCTTTGTTTACTGTTCTGTTAATCTGCCCTTATCCCGATGCACCAGTTTCTGCCTCTTACTTTTCATTCTCCTTTGCACCCCAGCGGGGGGAGGGGCAGCCGCGTGGTGTTTTTGTTGCCGGCGGCAGGCGGAACACAAACACCCCCTTT